ACATTTTTTGTTTTTTTTTTTTTCGCTTGGGGCGGCAAAAAAGTTAGAGCCGGCCCTGACTAGAGCACATTTTCTAGAAAAACATCCAATCTTGATTTTAAAATCTGCAGTGACGGGGAATCTACCACAACCCCTGGTGGGATGTTCCAATGATTAATTACCCTGACTGTTAAAAATGTGCACCTTATTTCTAGTCTGAATGTGTCTAGTTTGATCTTGTCATAAGTTACCAAATGTCTGTTCTCCCATGTAGGTACTTGCAGACTGTGAGCAAGTCTCTCCCTTTGATAAGCTAAATGGATTGAGCTCCTGGAGTCTCACTATAAGGCATGTTTTCCAATCCTGCAGTCATTCTTGTACCTCTTCTGTGAATCCTCTCCAAATTTTCAAAATCCTTATTGAAAAGTGGTCACCAGAACTGGACACGATTCCAGTAGCAGTTGCACCGGTGCCAAATACAGAGGTAATATAACCTCCCTACTTCTACTCTGTATTCTATTTATACATCCCATGATCACATTAGCCTTTTTGGCCGCAGCATCACACTGGGAGATCATGTTCAATAGATTATCCACCACATCACCCAAGTCTTTTTGAGAGTCACTGCTTCCCAAGATAGTCTCCTACGCTGTAAGTACGACCTAAATTATTTGTTCCTAGATGTATAACCTTACATTTGTCATATTGAAATGCACATTGCTTGCTTGAGCCCATCTTACCAAGTGATCCAGATTGCTCTATATCAGTGATCTGTCTTCATTATTTACCATCTTCCAATTTGTGTGCATCTGCAAATTTTTTTAGTAATTGTTTTTTTTCCCCCAAGTCATTGATAAAAAGATTAAATACCATAGGGCCAAGAATCAATTCTCGGAGGACCCCACTAGAACCATAGCCATTTGTTAATTACCTGTTTTAAATACACCTTGAAACTTACCTATCACTTAACCAGTTTTTAATCCATTTATTCTTCTTCGAGTGATGGCCCCTATTGTATTCCACTGAGGGGTTATGCAAGCATGCCATGCCTGCGGAGCTGAAGAATTTGAAAGTAGTAGTGTCCATTGATCCACGCACGCACCCTTGCTTTGCCTTATGGTTTTGTCCAAGGTAATAAAGAGTAGGGTGAACTGACTGCGCCTCCAGTTCCTTCTCACCGCTGCATAGTCTGAGTTGGAGCTGCTAGTGTCCTCTCCTCTTTGATGCACTTTTAAAAGCAAACAAGTTTAGAAATTCTATATATAGCTAGTTTTAGTCTACTGTTGTTGCTGTTTTGTCATAGTCTAGTTTTTAGTAGTAGTTTTAGTAGGATTTGGACTCTGGGGGAATTTGTTTTCCAATTCTCCCCCTTCCCCCAGCACCCACATGCAGGTACTGGATTATGACGAAGATTCCAAGTTTAAAGATCTGTGCCTCCTGCCCAAGTTCATTCTCAGTCAGTGACAAGTACCAACGCTGCCTCTACTGCTTGGAAGAAGCCCACATTTCATCCAGGTGCAGTATGTGCCAGTCCTTCCCAAGCCGTACCCAGGAGGGCCAGGATCTTCACCTCTAGAAGCACCTCATAGAGGTTGCCATGAGTCTGAAGTCAAAACCAGGACAGGGAACACTCCTCTGCCCCCGCCCACCCCCGTACATTGGCCTGTGGAACTCAGGAGTGCGCCTCTGGCTGCAGAGCTGAATTCCAGCTCCAGTGGTACTGCAACTACAGACCCAGTGCTGGAGCTAGCTGGGAGGCAAGGAAGCATGCACATAAGCACAGCAGTAAGTCTTCCTCCAAGCCAAAGGATGATGTGCCTTCCATGAGTTCCAGCCACAGAGAAGTGGCAGCGTTCCAAGGCACACAAGCATGACAAAAAAATTGCGCAGACCAACATCTGCTGGTACCAAGCCGTGCACATTTTCAGGGTCAGCCTCCATTAAGATGAGGGATCTGCTCGTTCGGGGACAGTTCTCTGCTCCGGTTATAGAATGAGTACTGTTGACACCAGATGTTGGGAGATGTATATCCATACATTATCCACACTAGGCCTATATTACATGGATATACGGATTAAGTGTACTTGACGTGAGTTGCGGGTTGACAACCGAAGCAAGAATTTGAGGTTTTAAGCCATCAAGAGCTGTTTGTGAAAAATAACTTTGTTATGAGAAAGATGGAGAAATACCAGATAAGGAAATAACATTGGGGGCATTGCCATGACAATGTACCTGTTGAAATGTATCTGCTGTAGTTGTAAACAAGGGCTGGGGAAAGAGGAACGGCTTGGGCCTGGGACTGTTTCTAAACATCTTGGGTTTTGACAATTTGCCCAGAACTGTCTCTGAAATTGCCCAAACAACTACTGATGCAACAAAGTGGATTATTAAAGATATTTGATAGACTCACAATTTGGAGTCGTTTGTGGATCCAGAGCCCTGTTTAGTTAAGATGTGGTATTGCTGGCTCCCCGCATCTTGTGATCAGACTGAACATCGACTGGCCATTGGAACTTCAATTCTGATCTTCAGATTCTGGTGTAGTATGCTTGGGTTATGAATGTGGAGTGAGTGATTTATTTTCTAAGCCATAAAGAGTATTTGTGGGTTATATACCAACACTGTGTCCAGTATCTGCCTGCTCCCCTATCTCGTAGGGAGACTCCTGCTGCGGGTCTAACATGATGCTCGGAGAAAGCCCCAGAGCCACATGAGCGGTTCACTCTGGGGGAACTGACGTCTCCACATCTTCCTCCGCCACCCGCACCTAGGGAAGTCCGACCTATCCAGGAGTTGCCACAGTCAGGCCATGCTTCAACTCAGGCTCTTATGGTTTACATACTTTCATTGGTTTCGACAGTACCGCCATCAGATCCAGGATCCAAGTTCTTATAGTCGGCTGATTCCGACAGAGCACAAGAGCCACCTGTTCAGTGCTGTTTGGAACAATTACATGAAAGGTCCGCCAGTGGTGTCGCAATACCCTCCCCTGCAGCAGCATGGAAGCTGCTGGTTACCTTCATGTGGTGCTCCGCACTATCTGCCAGATCAGTCTTGCTGCCCTATTGGGGGTCCTGACCCCAGTACCCACCCTTGGAACCCACCCATTCCACGAAGGAAGCTTTGCCCCTTTCTCTACTCAGGGCACTCTTGAGCAGATGCTCCAAACAAGGTATGGAGGATGAACTGCTCAGTCCAGTTCTGAGGGTACCATTGGAACAGGAGTGTTTCCCATCATCCTCTCCAGATGCTGCAGTCACTTCAGCCACCCCTTACCTCCAGATGACTTTTTCCAGCTTCAGGAACTCCTGTGAAGGGTGGCAGGCAAACAGCATATTCCACTGGATGAAATACAGGACAAGCAGCATCAGCTCCAGGACATCCCTCATTCCTCAGTACCGAACAGGGTTGCTCTACCAATTAACTATGCCATTCTCCAACCAGATAAAACCGTTTGACATACCCCAGCTACTTGCACGCTTAGAATACTACATACCACCTAAAGAGAGTTCTTTTCTCTCACCCCTCACCCAATTCCCCTGTGGTGCGAGCAGCAACAGAACGATCCAGACAGCAACATACAGGCCCTCATCTGTCGAGGTGGAGCAAACTCTTGGATCTTCTTGGATACAAGTTCTTTTCTTCAGCAAGCCTCCAATTTCAGATTTCAAACTACCAGGCCTTGCTTGCCAAATATGAATTTCTTAACTACAGTAAATTAAAGGACTTTGCCAACAAGCTA